GTTAAGGTATTCCAGAGCTAAGAGAGTCAGTGTAAATGGTACAATAAGTGTACTGTATAGCTTCTACGTGATCCACGGCAAGAGAAATGGCATACAACTCGGCAGTGAACCCAGAAACTAGAGAGGATCCCGTGAGTAACCACGTGCCACAACAAACCATGGCTGAGCCCATAGAGTCACCTGATTTCGAACCATCCGTAAAAACGGGAGTAGAAAAATGGTTTGAAAGATGTTCAGCAAAGAGAGATCAGTACTTCCAATCGGGAGTATCTGCCTTCCTCAGATGGCTCGAAGAAAGGTCACAGGAGGGTATGATGGCGAGCCATGGCGGACTGGCTGATCAGAGTCAGCAACATCATTCATTGACAGACCCAATTCAGCCAGCTGTGCCTAATTTACATAGGTCTAAAGGAGGAATGGTAGACCATCTATTCTGAAAGAGCACAGCCTAATGAAGAAGGAAAACAACCCCAGGTGGGATGCTATGGTAAGGATTGAAGCATATTGTAAAGAAAGTTGTAAATGTTGGAGGTGAAGAGGAGGCTTGTGGGACTCAGTGTGCAAATTCTGGACTGGAAAAGTCCAAAAAGCCCCCATACAGAGCGAAAGCCCCAGATGATGAACAGAGGCCAACATCTTCAAGGCAGATGGTCTAGCAGACCCATAGTCCAGCTTGGGATGTATGAAGGCACGATAGATCTTCAAATAAAACATTGATCCACTCCCAAGAGGTGGAAGAGAGGACACGGAGGATGTTTAGTGCCTTTGTACAATGGACATAAAACTGCTTAATATGAGCACAAAGAACTTAGTCTCGGTGATGTTGTTCTTCCTATGGTGAGACAAAGCTCCAAATCAGGGCGTGAACCCTGTCGGGAGAAAAAGTGGATACAAACGATTTTTGAAGAAGAGAAAGTGAAATCATTTGCTGTGGTTCACCTTAACAAGCGAGTGAGAGAAGTCTGGAGCTGCTGCTCAATAAATCTTTTGATCGACAAGAAATATGGAAGTCGTTTGCAACAGGAAGAGGAAGTTGTTTAGTGATAACATTGATCGTGATACTGAAAAGGGTGACACTCAAGACACAGCCTTGAGGGACTCCATGTTCCAGTGTGAAGGATCGGGAAAGGGTTAAAACCACACGGACTTGGAATCGCCTGTCCAGTAAAAAGGTTACAAATAAAAAAAATGGTAAATAGCCACACAACCCATATAAATGGAAGTCCCACAAAATCCCAAACCTCCATATATTGTCATAAGCTTTCTCAGGATAAAAAACAACAACATAAAACAAGATGTTATTTCTTGAGGAACACTTCCCTGATCAAGGTACCAAGACGAATCAGGTGGTTCATGGTAGAGCGCTGTTGATGGAACCCACACTGGGTGAGTGAGAGGAGGTTGTTTGATTCAAGAAACCAAACAAGACGTGCATTACCTATCCTCTCTAAGACCTTAAAGAGACAGCTACTCAAATCAATTGGACGATAATTAGAAGGAATCGTGGGATCCTTCCCAGGTTTGGAAAAGGTAGAACAATAACCATGCACCACGCATCAGGAAAAACATGCTTCTGCCAGATCTGGTCAAAAATGACCAGGAGAATAGCAGGAGAGGCAGGAGAGAGATGGCGCAGAATCTCATAGTGAACATCTCATAGATCCAACTGATGTACTGCCAGACTGATGAAGAACAAGCTTAAGTTCCACCAGTATAATTGTATAGATGATCTGCCTGAAAGGAAAAGGACGATCGCTCAGCCCGAGACTTGGTGATGGGAGAAGAGACAGAAGTGCTGGAAAGATAAGGAAAACACTCCCCGATAATACTGACGATACTCTGTACATCAGCAAGCTCCTGGCCATTTGAGAGCAAGATGGGGAGGTGTTGAAAAGCATATATCCATTGACTCTAGAAAGCAATGCAGTTGGAAAGAGTGGAATACTTGCAAAATATATCCCAGGCCCGTTTCTGAGCCTTCTGTGCCTGCTGGCAGGCAGGAGACCACCATGGATGAAGATACCGTGGGAAACGTGTAGAGATTTTGGGAATAGAATGAACAGCTGTTTGAATTATACAATCAGTTACTGCATCCACGCAGTTGTTAATAGATAGAAGACTAACAACAGCAAGATCAAGTTCCATTAAAGTCTACTAAGATGAAAAATAGAGACGGCAACTGTTCTATGAGAGCATCAACGTCTGATTGATCGTAAATCTCTCCAGGAGACAGGTAGAAAGAACAGTGATTGTACGATCCACAGAGATACAGACGGCTACAGTCTCCAAGGGTATTTCGAGTGGCACAGACAAGGTGGGTATGTGTTGGTCAATCAGTACTGTAATACCTCCATGAACCCGTCCATCACACAACCTGTCATTCGGTAAAAGGAAAACTACCCAAAGGTGTCAGTATTGGCAGGTTTCAGGAATGTTTGCTGTAAGAAGAAACATGGGATGATAGGAATCGATTAAGGCCTTAATGTCATCCAAATTAGAATGGAAACCTCGACAGTTCCACTGTATCAAAGTGGTTGTTTTTATTTAAGTGGAGGAGAACTAAGTGGAGAACCCTTCTGTTTATAACCACGACGTTTTTACTAGAAGGAAGTCTGTCGACCTCCATGGATCCTTCCTGGGTATGATTGGCCAGACCTCTGTCAGAGAATGGAGACTCCAGAGACTAAGGGCGTGACCGAATAATGATTCTGCACCTAGGAGCCGAAAAACAAGTGACCCTAGCAGTCGCCGAATGCGATGGTCGGGACAGAGACAGAAGTAGATATAGACTTGTCAACTCTTGGATCCACAGAGGGCAAAAGACTCTTTACATGGCGTGAAAAAGACTCTGATGGAGGCACGGCAAGATCTATCTGCACTCGCACTGTAGCATTGAAATGAAGAGCAACAGATTATGTCCGAGATGGAACAGGGGACAACATCATCCGAGCCTTATGATAAGAAATGTTGTTTATAGTACATAAACGTTGTGTCTTTCTCCTCCACCCATTTATGGCAAGATAAATAGTAAGAGGGGGTGAGAACCAGCGCAATTGATGCAGTGATGGTACAGTTGACACTCGTAAGCGTCATGGTCGTTGCTGACACAACGAACACACGTCAAAGAACACCCACAAAATGCCTTAGAATATCCTCATATTTCAGATAACCTGCCTTAGCAGTGGTAGGTGGATGCGGTGATGTAAAGTACAGGAATAAGCAAGGATCTCTGACTCCGGGGATGTTCTTCAAATCCCTCTCAACAATAACTCTTCGTGAGGAATTCAAAGTAGCCTCAATAGGTATATCCCCAATGGCTTTCGAATTCAGGAGGATTTCAGTGTGTTTTGGTGTATATCTTTCCACCAAGGTGTCCCCATAACGTAGCTTCTTAACTGACTTCAAAGAGCTAGCAAGCCTCTCTAATCCCTTCTGAATGAAGAAAGGAGACAATTGTCCTAAAGGTTTGTCAGATGTAAGATTAGAAAACGGGGTACAGGAACAAATTAGTGTGGAGACTGCTGATCAGAGTCTTCTAAACGTGGCCCTTTCCAATCAACGTGATTTTTATTAGTTTTTTTTTAAATCACACGGTGAGGAAAGAATGGAAAAGATTCAGTACCTACTGACCCTACCCACCATGGAGCCCTATCACAATGTCACACATTAACAATGTAGCTACGCCAGGTTTTGTGGGCACTGTCCCAAAACACACAATGTCCACAACACCTGTTGAGAACGTCCAACATCGGTACTTAGTTGAACCTAGCCCAACAGGACCAGCCGATTGACTCTGGGAGAGTTACCCCAAGGCCACCCGTCTACCGGAATTCAATGCCAAAGTGATGTTAAAGTGCCACAGATATAAAATGACCCATCAATGACAATCCTCAACCACCAGGATCCTCTCCTTCCTCTCTCCGTACACCACGCAAGGCAAACACGTACAAACTGAAAATACAGAATCTTCCCTAGGAGGTCCCCCCCTCACCATGTACAGGTTTTCCAAATGTACAAACATGATAAATTCCATGTATAAATCAAGAACATTAAAAATGCTAAAAAAACTACTGAAATCAAAGTTTATCCAATATACTTTCCTTTTTAAATTAAAGTCTTATTCAAATTATATTTTCTCTTGTTATTATAAAAATGCAGTTTGGTTACACACACCGAAAACAATAAATGTTCAGGTGTTTTAAAGTGACTAGAGCATTGTTTGAAGTACGGTTCTTCTAATTAATTTTTAAATGTTTGGTTGCCCATTTTACTTTTATGTAGCTTTAGATGAAGCTCACGTCACGAGATCGGTTACTGGTAATATAATACTTCATTCAAACACTGCATATAAAGTTAAATTCATAACTTTGTTATCTAGAAAAAAATTTTCTGAGCCCTACTGGAGTTCCCCCATCAATTAATATTCACTATTTCGGAGATTTTTTTTTACCTCGTGGTCCTCAACTCGCTACCTGAGGATCACGGGTTCGAATTCATTCCCCGAACATGTTCGCCCTTTCAGCTATGGGAGCGTTGTAAGATAATGGTCAACCTCACTATTCGGTAGTAAAGAGTAGCCCAAGAGTTGGCGGTGAGCGGTGTTGACTAGCTGCCTTCCCTTAGTCTATTTTGGAGTTTAAAGACAACAAGAAAGAAAAAGTCTCTCATGCAAGTGTTTATCAAAAATCTGCTAAAAATAGTTCAAACTATTTTACGGGATGTAGATGTAGTCAAGAAGCAACAGCTTTGATGCTTTTTCTTAGTTGATTAATATTGGCTACGCAGGTATATAAATCCTTCTAGTGGTTATTTTCTCTTTAGACATTTTTGGCTTTTTTTTTAGTATTAACATTAAATAGCTGAGTAAATGCCAAGAGAAGGACGTTTACCCCGGTCCCGGGTTAAATGCCAAGAGAAAGACGTTTACCCCGGTCCCGGGTAAATGCCAAGAGAAAGACGTTTACCTCGGTCCCGGGTAAATGCAAGAGAAAGACGTTTACCTCGGTCTCGGGTTCTGTAGTTTCTCCCTAGCTGCTGCAGAGTACGACGACCACGTGGATGTCCTGGAGCGGAGCTTGGCTCTGGTCCATTCCTGTATGGATGACGTCAGTGATGGAATTCGACCAAGAAGAAAGACGATCGCTCCGTCCATGTTCTGTGGTGAAATTATGTATAACACTTATTCCATAATTAGCACCGAATTCTGAACTAAACATTTAATTCTTAACCAACGTTTGTAAAACGCCCAGTTCCTAGCTAGCATCTTCGAGCAACTTTGAGTTTTAAACAATAACGCAGTTTTACCCCCCCCCCCCCCCAGTGGTAAACCCAGTCCTCTACAAGTATCTATACAGTGGTATAGCCAGTCATTTATCAGGAAAACCCAGTTTCTATCATTACCGTCCAGTACACAACACTTGTTGCACCACCACTTGGACATCTAGTTCTTAACCTTCACCTGCATACGACACTTGTTGCACCACCACTTGGACACCTAGTTCTTAACCTGCATACGACACTTGTTGCACCACCACTTGGACACCTTAACCTTCACCTGCATACGACACTTGTTGCACCACCACTTGGACACCTTAACCTTCACCTGCATATGACACTTGTTGTACCACCACTAAAAACAAAAAAAATCTTACTCTGATTCCGTTAAGATAATTCAACTATTAACTTGTTTATCGCAAATATTAATGAAAATCCCCTACTGTCCTCCGTACTGGGTTTTGATATTGGCTTAGCCAATAGGCTAAGTTTAGAACCACTTAGTAGTTTCCTATTGGTCACTCGCACTACTTTAAAGATAGTATTTTAAAGAGAAACAAACAAATTCAGTATAATAAGACGAATCCAGTTTTAGCTACTTATTACAATTGTAAAACTATGCCAGTAGAAACGCCGCCCTGTGTGCGGCTGTTTGTCTAATCGTAGTACTCGTATCTCATTGAAAACAAATTTAAAAAGTGAACATTTTCAAAAACTGATTTTTCTGGGAAGTACTACACGGGAAAAGTGTTCGGATTGTGCTGATAATATACAAGTCATACCCTTTATTGATTTTTTTAAAACTCCAGTTTCTCAGATATTTACATATTACATCAATAAAGATATAACCAAATCCTCACGTACAGTCCTAGTGAACGTTGTGTTCTTATTGTGAGGAGAGTACTTTATTTAAAATTGTGTTATATTATAAAGAAATGGTTGTTACACAGTTATTTTTTTTTTTAATTGTCTCAATCTTAAATACCCATATGATTTTTTGTTTGTTGTGCCATTTAATAAATGGTACAGAAGTTATGTTGGCATACATAGATACTGACATACACGTTACGTTCATTATAGTAATAAAGATTAGTTAGTTTTGAATTTCGCGCTATCTGCGATAGTCTTTTCTAAGCTACTAGTGAACACCACCCACCGCCCCTTATTGGAATACTCTTATCAACAAATAATGGGATTAAATGTCACTTATAACGCCCCCACTCATGAAAGGGTGAGCATATTTGATGAAGGCATTGCGAGTCCAGCGCCCACTAACCACCAGACCATGTCTGTATTTTATTAAGTCAGAAAAAGACATTCCTTCCCACCCTCTTTTGTTAGAAATACGATTTAATTTCGGACATTATATCAAATATGTGCAAAAAAGTTTTTTTATTACGATTTAATTAGTTGACTAACGCCTACATCCGTCCTTGTGTAGATATGTATAAAAAACAAACACTGGTGTTACTTACCAGTAACATTTTTGCCACATCTTTTTGATTGCATTCCCTTACGTTGTGTCCATTAATCTCAAGAATCTGATCTCCCTGTAAAATTTTACGATTTTGGTGGGCCGCTTTACTTCCTGGTTCCTGAGGTAAAATAGGTAGTTTAGGGTCAAAAGAGCTAAATAAATCTGAAATATTACAAAATAAATATAACCGCCCACGTGTTTATACAAGTTCTGATAGTTAATAATTAGTTTTAAAACAGGTATATGATAGATGTGATCTTACTGGGAAAATGTTGAAAATTTTAGTGGACCGCTGTACTTCTTCGTCCTCAGTGTAGGGTTGGTAGTAGAGGGGGAGAAAAATAAGAATAAAATTAAAATGTTTACAAAGTAACCCAGGATATTCAAATATTGAAATAATTGTTATTGATTAATAATTAATTGCAAAACAATTACTTTTTTTCTCTTTAATTATATCAGCTTTTTTTTTTTTTTTAAGACATTTTCTTTACTCTGGAATCTACAACTATCTGTGATATAATTATGATATAAACGAGCGTTTTCGTCCTTAACGACTTATGATTAATCAGATGAAATACTTCAGAAACTTCATACCAAAGTAAACACATTGAAAGAAACTAAATAATAATAAATGTACATGAAAAAACTCTTTCGTACAGCTGGTTTAAGTTTTCTTTTTCTTAAGTATGCCAACACTGTAGCTTTAATAATATCGAAATGTTACAAACTAAGTTAAATTGATTGAAACCGTCAAATCTATAAACCTAAAATATTTTACTTAAAGTTATTAAAATAGAAAAACACCACTTTAATCATACATTTTAAGTAAAAGTTACACATGTAAATCATGGCGAATAACTAGTGGTAGCATATCAATACAAGAACGTAAGAACGAAAAGTCACCTGGGAGGTTGGTAGCAAATGACGTGAAACCGGCGAAAAAATAAATAAATAAAATAAAACAAAAGAAGAAAAGAGGCTTTTAATGAGCATGCAAACAAGGGGACTTTCACCACGAAACGAACGGTTCATGTGCTACGGCTCAAAATAGTGAAAGGAGCGGCGCACACCACTTTTTGTAGCATGACTGTTGCTAGTACTATTGGTAGCGATACTTTTTTTACTCATACCCTGCTAATAAGGTTCAAATAATTGATCTGTAAAAGCTCCACGTTGAAGGGTAGTGTTAATCACAAAGCAGGCATCGAATCCTGAATTTTAGCATTACAATCCATCTAGTTTAACGCTGAGCATCATGCGCTTGAAGAGGGGGAGTAGATTTTGAGGTTCCTTAAAAGAGAGAAGCGTCGATAAAATAGCAAAAGTAATATTTTAATTTGCCTGTTTGACAGTGAACAACTATATTTGACAGTGTTACGACAGCGGAAGTCACGTGACGCTTGTAACAAGTCATGAGATTCTAGACAGATCATGTCTGTTCGTGGCAACTCTAGTCTTTTCTTCTTTTCTATATAAGCCGGCAAATGAAGTGACGGCATATAGATAATTGCAGACAGGCAGAGTTAGAGACCTACAATTGAGTCAAGCGCAGTAGTGACCGTAAGTAAAGTGCGTGAATCATTGTGAATTATAGCGTGTGTTTAAGTTCAAGTGACTGTGGAAATTAAGTGTATTGCAAAGTTGTATTGAGAAAGAATAAACTAGTTTTATTTAAGAAATGACTTGGGTCGCTAAAGTTTCATCCGAAAGAAATTATACGGGAAATTAACAAACGACCAGAGACGTAACAACAGTAAATATTCCCTCGTTGCACATCATCGAGTAGCGAAAGAGAAGAGAAGTTTTTACGGATAGCGACGGATTCCTCGAGTAGCATTAAAAATTTACAACTGATTCCACGAACGTAGATAAAGACCTAACTTCAGTCCTCGTAATCTCACGTATGTCGAAATACCGAATGAAGCAGAAAAGGCTTACCACGTATGTAATGAATACACCACGTCCGTTGCTGAAAAAGAAACAAGAGCAAAAAAAATTAAGTTACAGACGAACAGGATATGACAAATTTTGGGAACATTCGAAATGAAACGTAAAATTTAAATCTGATTTGATAATAAAACTAAAGCTACTGATACAACCTAACTGCGGAATTGAAATTATTTAAGAATTATCTCAACTAACAGTGATTAGTTCTGACATTCTAACGTTTTCTAATGCGCAAATCTTAAATTTTAACTGAAATCGTAAACACTCTTCTAAAAGGAAATGCATGTAAAATAATATTTGTCACTCAATGAAAACCTTAAGATTATTCGATTTGATGTTTTTCGATAAGCGTTTACTAAAGTTTATTTTTAGACAACTATTACACTCAAGAACATTTAAGTTTAAGTTCTGAACATAATTTTCAAAATGTAAAGATAACACAAGCTAGCGAATTTAAAGTTCATAAAACTGCCGTCCCACCAAACATGCTCGCCCTTTCAGCCGTGGAGGCGTTATAATGTGACGGTCAATTCCACTACTCCCACTAAGAGTAGCCCAAGAGTTGGCGATGGGGGGGGTGATGACTAGCTGCCTTCCCTCTAGTCTTATACTGCTAAATTAGGGACGGCTTGCGCAGATAGCCCTCGTGTAGCTTTGCGCGAAATTCAAAAACAAACAAACATAAAAGTTGTTTTGGTTTTAATAATGCATTTTCCATAATTCGGCCACGCAGATTTCGAGAATAATTTTTTTTTTCTATCACTTGTTTTTTTTTCAGATTTGTAAAAATAATCCTTAGATTAGCGTTTCGTTTACCACAAGGAACAGTTATTATTTTGTTTGTTAACAAAAAATACAAACAAACTGAAGAAAAGAGTAGAACATTGATGTCAAACGAATATGCATCCTCATTCATCCCGAGGAAATTACGTCTTTTGCATTATGACGTTTTGTGAAAAATCTATACGAGATGGAGAAAAATGTACATCATTTTCGGATTCAGCGTACAGGAATTACTATAGAACGTGTAAAAATGAAGACAATAAAACCATTGTAGGCCTGCGTTATTTATTCTGCAACTAATCATAACCTTTAATTGAACAACTAGAAACCTAACCTTCCGTTTGATACTGATTACCATTAAATAATACTAGTTACGTTTATATTCATGAAATTGTGGTATTACACGATTATTGATCTCTCGGTGGATCAGAGGTAAGTTTACGGACTTGCAACGATTAAATTCGGGGTTTGATTCCACATGGTGGTAGAGTGCATATAGCCCATTGAGTAGCTTTGATTTAAACCATAAAAAAGCAGGATTCTTGTTACAATCTTACAAGAACTAGGGTTAGGTTTTAATATGTAACCGTTGAAGTTAATCGACTTTTAATAATTATCTTCTCTGAAAGTTCAGAGATGGTAAATATCCAAACTTACAACGCTAAAATCGGGGGATCGATTCCTCGAGGTGGGCAGAGCGAAAAGTAGCCCATTGTGTAGTTTTGCGCTAAAAAAATAAAACAATTTTCTCTGAAAAACAATTGGAAGCGCAGTTATGTATTTATTACGGGTTGGTCATGTGGTACAGATGGGTTCGATTCTGTGCAATTCCACAAAATATCGAAGTGTGTGCGTGTTGCAAGCATAGCAGTCAGTTCCTTAGCGTGGATGGCGGTTGGTAGGGTATTGTTAACTGGCTTCCTTCCTTCTGGTCAGTAGTTTAAAAATTGGGACGGAGCCATAAAAACAAGATACAACACAATGGATAGTAACTTTGATTATTCTCTTAGCAACAGAATTACATGACGTTGTTTCTGTCACAAGTTATATAAAACCTAAAACCTGATACGGACAAAACTTACAGAAGGAACTTGATATTATTTATTATTATTATATTCAAAGTCTAACAGAAGAAAGTGGTTTAATATCTAAATATATAGTATTATTTAAAAAAAAAAAACGAATAATCATCAATAAAACATTAAAATTTTACTTTCAACTTTCAATACCTAGCCCAACTTCTGAAACTAGCTTCTATTGTTCTCAAAACCAGAAATCCACTTCTGCCGGTCCGAATATCTGACCGGGTACCCGTCCATCCCTAATATGTCTGCGAGTAAAGTGGTGTTAACGAACAATATAATCTAGTCTATATTTTATTGTTTAGGGTAAAGACGTCTGGTAGTAATATTAACAACCAATGTAATGTAGTTATGTTTTTGTTGTTTAGGGTAGAGATGTCTGTGAGTGAAATGATTTTAACTAACAATATAATATTGTCTGTTTTTATTGTTTAGGGTAAAGATGTCTGGTAGTAAAGTGATGTTCAATAACAATATAATCTAGTCTATAGATTATTTCACTCCCAGACAACCCTACCCTAAACAATAATGTTATATAACAATCTAATTATGTTTTATTGCTAATGTAAAGAAGTCTCGGAGTGCATTACATTGTTTGTTAACATTACTTTACTCCCAGATATCTCTGCCCCAAACAATAAAACGGACTAGAATATATTATTAGTTAACATCACTTTAGTCTGTTATATTGTTTAGGGTAGACATTTTTGGGAGTGAAGTGATGTTAAGTAACGATATAATCTTATTTGTTTTATTGTTTAGGGTAGAGATGTCTTTGAGTGAAGTGATGTTAAATAACGATATAGTCTAGTCTGTTTTATTGTTTAGGGTAGAGATGTCTTTGAGTGAAGTTAGTAACTAACAATATAATCTAGTGTTTAATTGTTTAGGGTAGAAATGTCTTTGAGTGAAGTGATGTTAAATAACGATATAGTCTAGTCTGTTTTATTGTTTAAGAAAGAAATGTCTGGGAGTGAAGTTAGTAACTAACAATGTAATCTAGTCTATGTTTAATTGTTTAGGGTAGAGATGTCTTGGAGTAAAGTGATGTTAATCAGGTACTTCTATACCCTAAATACAGAAATTATTTGATAATGAATATCTACTTTCTTGCCTTATAATCCAAAGTTTCTTAAATATTCAATATTACATTTCTAAAAGTGATCTAAATTATGATATTAAAACCAGTTAAATTTATCTAATCCATCTTCGTTAGTGTTTATTATGTAAGCTGAATAGTTTAGAAATCATGAACGTACATTCTCTGGATAAAGCTGAGTCCGAGATGTTCCTTTATACTGGTTTTCCGCAACTCAACGGTGATGAACTTTGTCGGAACTGTCAATTTTGAAAAGATATAATAGAGAACACTGAATAAATATTAAAACAAGCAGCAATGAGAATATGTTTGAACCTTAACGTTAAGGTTCAATCAGTTGGCAAGCTTAAGCAAGTATAATGGGCATTATACTAGACACGTGGACTAGTTCACTTTAAGGTTCAATCAGTTGGCAAGCTTAAGCATGTATAATGGGCATTATACTAGACACGTGGACTAGTTCACTTTAAGGTTCAATCAGTTGGCAAGCTTAAGCAAGTATAATGGGCATTATACTAGACACGTGGACTAGTTCACTTTAAGGTTCAATCAGTTGGCAAGCTTAAGCAAGTATAATGGGCATTATACTAGACACGTGGACTAGTTCACTTTAAAAAGTAACAAAGAATAAGCGTCTCGGAAAAGGATTCGTATTTTCCTGAAGTGACAGTGTGTACATGTTTCATAATTCTATACAGTATAAGTGTAAATATATATCGTTTACATTAAACAAACTTATTGGATTCTTTTTCAACCTCAATTTTTTTTATTTATTTTTTAGCCTCAGTGTCAGTTTTTTGCGTCACATCGGCTAAAAGACGGAGTTTCTAAAGTTCATGTTTCACAATCTCGAATATAGAACTGATGACCAGTAAACAGTACAGATAGCAGATAACCTTCGTAAAGTAAGACGATTAACTAACATTTATAATATAATATGGCAACATGCTGAAAGTGATCACTGACATCACCTTTTGAAATCCTGCGCTGTTTATTCACAGCCCTACACGTTAACCACTAGGCCCATTATCACAGCCCTACATAGTAACCACTAGGCCCATTATCACAGCCCTACATAGTAACCACTAGGCCCATTATCACAGCCCTACATA